GTTTCAAATCAATTATTAATGATAGATAAGAGTTTGTGTTAAGTTAGATTAAAAAATTTGAACTCAGTCCTATTTAGTAAACGTTCAAAGTGTGCGGTGTAAATTTTTCGCAGTAAATTTTCAAGTCATATAGTGTGTGAGCAATGCAAATGGCACCAACTTTAAATCACTCTAATTAACGAATTAATTTCAATTGAACATTAATTTTAGGGGCAAATAAAAGCCAATTAGATTAGCCATGATGTCAGAAAATTTCATTCGTTTCGGATTAATATTTCATAGGAAAAAGTGACATTAAAAATAAAAAAATCGAAAAAATCGATTTTGATCGGTGAAAAAGGTCACTTTTCCACATGAAATATTAATCCGAAACGAATGAAATTTTTATACATCATCGAAGTTCTCATTAGCTTTTATTTGCATCTAAGATTATTGATCAATTGAAATTAATTCCTTAATTAGAGTGATTTAAAGTTGGTGCCAGGTTTTATTGTATGCCCAACCCTATGTTAAGACTGGAAATGAAACAAATTTTCGCGCTTACTTTCGGCGTTTACTGAATGAGACTGAGATCAAATTTTGTAATCAAACTGCACATAGACCTTTGCCAGTTATATAAAATTAAATTGAAACTAAATTTGATAAAATAAACTTAATAATTAGAAAAATATTGCAGTTTATATCTTGTGCCATTTTTTAGTTATCACTCCTTACAAGAAAGTGTTACATGAAGGCAAACAAAACATTGACAAAGCCCTTTAGGGCTATTAGTTGTTCATTATCCTCGAATCTTCCAAATGAAATGTTCGAAAACTTTTCTACTTTCTGTTCATTTTCTTTACTCAGATCAAGAAAATTTACCAAAATCTATGAGCAACCAAATGCAACCTTTCAATATTGCTGCACAAGATTGTACGAAACAAAGAAACTCTTTTGTTAATTAGACCACTATTCTGTTTCAACTAATCTGTAGTGCAGTCGTTCCTTGTAATCCATTCAAATATGCTTGATAAACTTTTCGGTGAACTTATTAAATCTTATTGTCTCTATGAAACAATCATGATGAAACCAGAGAGAAAAACAACAGAGTCTCAGAAAGAACCTAACATTGTAATTCTAAACTTTATCCGAGTAATTGAACACATTGTTTTTACTAATAAAGATTTTCGAATGAAATTGCAGGTTAATTATAAGTTCGAGTACAGACAAGTTTTTGCTATTATTGTTTCGATTGCAGGGCAAAAGCTAATGCTTTTAGAACATTGTAACAAAAAAATGTAAAACTCTTCAAGCTTCCTTAAAGTATGCTTATTCCTCGATTTCCTTCCAACAGTCTATCACGACTGATTGATCAGTTTGTCACTAACAATCAATCAATCAAAAATTAGTGCAAAATTATTGACTTGACGATTTACTGTTGAACAATGAACAATATTGTGACTGTAAAATGACCTGAGTAATGGAAGCTATCAACTTGAATTATCAGACAAATAAATTTCCTAATTGTCAATTTAGTTAATGCAATCATAAAATGCATAAGATATATTTAATTAGCAAATCAAACTAATAAGTTGTCAAGTCAAAAACTATTAAACTCTACATTAGATCTAAAGAAGAAGCTGAAAAGGAATTGCAACGAAATGCTAGCAAAAAGTACGACGAAATGAGAGTAAAAAGGTTAACGATTCTCTAAAACAATTCATATTCATTCTTCAACATTTCTGCCGATCAATAACGAAAAGAGCATTGCAAAGTTTAATACGAGATGAATACCACTAAAGATGAATATGGAGAAGTAAAAAACACTTGGAGAAGCCTCTTGAATTAACAGTTTTATGAACATAATCATTATTGTTATAGACTAGTTGTTTAAGTTGATTAATAATGAACAGTTAACTGCCCTTTAATGAGTTGTCATTAATTTAATATTTCCCAAAAGTATTCTTTCCATTACAGGTTGTTCATCACTTTTCACGAGTATTATCATTATTTTATTATAAACCAAACCATAAACCAGAAAAGTTGAGCAAAATCCTCAAAGAGGAATGAATGAATAAAGTGAATGCTGTTTATACTTTTAATTTTGAATATTTTCTTCTTCCATTATTTTACAATTGATCAACGATATGCATTAAATGCATATGAGAATGCAATTAGTTATTCTACTTACGTTAGTTCGTTGGGTTAACCAAGTTGAATTTGAGCAACTCTAAAAATATTGAAAAGTTCATAAGTAAAGCTAAAGGAAGAAGTTTGAAACAAAATTTTGTGTTCTTTGAAAGATTTTGTTTCTTTCCTTTTCCAAAAACTCACCTCGTAATTCAATTACAATTCAATTGCCTTCTGGGTTAGAAAAATAGTGTTCAATTGGTTCAAAGGATGCAAAAGTACATTTGTTTATTGAGAGATTGAGTCAAAGTAAAACTGTTTAAGTCCATTTTATAATAACAAATATTTTACAATTCGTTTAACTTGGAATCATAACGATAATAATATAATGGCGAATGGAGCAAGGACTGCAACGAAGAGAAAAAAAGATTTCTGTTTTCATTTTTTACTTCAACTCTTTCACTACATTTTGCTCTTTTCTCATTTCGTTTGTTATTTCTCGTTTTATTAGCATTTCACTTGAAAGATGAGATAAATTGAGTTAGAGTAGAATAAGAAAAATGACTTTTCGCGAATGAAAATTTCCAAATCAACCAATTTGTTTCTGTCTCTTCTTATATTAACATAGATTTCATCAGTTGTACATAATGAAATAAAATCAACTAAAGGTTGACTTATTCACAATTGAGTTCAACAAGATACCTTATTAGATGCATGGAATCACTCTTGTCTCTGTCATCAATTACAATGTTGAGTTCAATTCGTTATTTATTTGGATTCATGTAGGAAGTTTAACATGAAATAACAACTAAAATTTCATAATTGGACGCTAATCCATCAGCTTCTATTTCATCTCATTTTATTCGTTCCATTTCAAAATTTCTCATTTGTCTCGACTGTATTTCACTGGGAAACTTGATCATCTTATTTTGAATTTGAGCAAACTTTCTTTTCTTGTGTTACATTATTGGAACATCGATGCTTTATTAGTAATCAGATATTTCATTATTATATTATGCACTTTGCTATTTGGACTAATATAGTTATGAAAAAAGTTGAATGATCATTTGAATGATGGTTATCGTTACATCAAAATGAACAAAAATAGCTCAACTTCTAGAGAAGAGCGGAAAAGTAAACTTCAGAAACAAAGTCATTGAAACTATTATCTTTTATGTTACTCACTGTTATGATTGATTATCAAACCAGAATGCTATTCAACTTGGAACCTTAAGCTAACCTAATCCAACCTTTCCACTTTCATCAGCCTTGAGAACCACAGGACATGTCAAAAGGTTGAAAAAAGTCCAATGCTTAACTCGTTAAGATCAATAATAAACTGAACAGATAAGGTTAAATTTCAGTTGGATTAACAGGTTCATTATTTTTGTGGGTAGATCTAGAAACTTGCCATAAAAATGATGAATTTTCAAATGAAATCTGATGTGAAAGGAGTAACCATGCATATAAGAGATGAGAACTGACATAATCATGTGAAAGTGCACCTGCAATATCAAACTTGATATCTTTTCTTCCGGCTATTTCAATTATGAGTCGTGAGTTTGCTCATCTATTGCTTTCACATTTCTCGTTTCACTGCAATGGGCAAATGCATTCTACACTCGAAATTTCGTTCGTTCTTTCGTTTGTTTACAATAAAATCTCTTCACAACTCTTCATTTATTGCCTCGAATTGCGTCTTCAATAGCATTGTGCATTATTTAAGTTGAAATCGGAACTATGGAAGCTCGAGGTAAACTTCTAGTTCTGTTGCCGCTTGCGAGTCATTTTCCAATAAACGAAAGTATTTTGGCGAAGCTTTTACTTTCTATTGCAAATAGCAATTGCTTTCTAATAGAGCTAACTAGCTTTAATAACAATCTAAACATTGCTCGCGATTTTAAGCAAAATAACTTTCATTTCAGTTCATAATATAAAATTAGTTCTTTATTTACTCGACTGAAATTGTTTGCAAATCTTCCAATGCTTCTTTTAAGAAGAATGTCATTTATGTCACAAGGAGATCGAATGGTCGGACCTAACAGCCTTGGAATACATAGCATCAAGTGGTATGACATCTTAATGTTTAGCTACTCGAATGTTTCCTTAGCTAGAGTGTCATAAGAAGTCCAGTTTTCAACGAAACAGTTGGAGCCAATTACTGTACAATCATGTTCTAAAGCGCTCGCATTTTCCGAGTCCCTTTGTCAGCACCAAACTGTTTGAAAACGTTGCAATTTGTTTTTCTTGAGACTGCAATTCATCCTTTCATAAACCATTGTATTAGGGTGTCAAATATATTTTGCGGTTCACTATGAAAAAAATATTTGATTGTGATCTTTTTCGGCTAAAACATTACTTAGCCTTAATTAATCAGTATAAAACAAAAAAAATCAAAATCGGACAAATATTCACAAAATTATTGCATTTTTACAGCTTTTTAAAGGGTACAAAAATCGACCAAAATTTTTTTTTTCACCAACTTTTTTCATCAAATTTTCTAGCGACGCGTCACAAAATTTTTAACCTCAGATTCACGATACTTGCGAACCTAACCTAAGTACCTGATCTCATCTCTATGGACCCCAATCTATCTTAATTTTTAGAAAATTCATTCAAAGATGACTAGGTCTATTCAGGAACGGAGATCAAAATCAATTTTGTCGATTTTTTCGCTATAAATTTTCGGACGCTCACAAAAACGACATCAATTATTCGATTTGGAAAATTGAAACGATATTTTAATACTACGAGTCCATAATTTGATTTAATGAAATTTCAGTCAATTCTAGACTAAACTTCATACCCAACCGCAAAACTTATTTGACACCCTAATAAATGAAAAAGTCGAGTATGCAAAGTACAATATAAAGATGAAAATTGGGAAACAAGATGAGCAGGAATTTGTAGTAAAAGAAATAGAAGCAACGAAAAGATGAATATTATTTTATTTCTCATCACACTCAAGTTATCAGTAATAAAGATGTTATTTTGAAGGAAGTAAGTAAAAAAGATGTTGCTTTTGATGAAAAATGAATTGAGACGAAAGGGAAGAAGAGAAAGGGTTAAATTGGAATGAAAAAGGAAAATTGTTCATTTCTTTTCTCAAACTTTTATATATTCAGATATTTGTTATTATAAATGTTAACATTTGGCTTCTTTGATTATTTATACAAAATTTTATCATTCGATTTATATTTATATATTTATATTTATACATTTGTTGTATACTTTTTATAATACATTTCCAACATTGTCATTATTCATAACAATAACGAAAAGTAGCACCTTTGGCATTTATTATATCAATTATCTAACACAATAATATTGTTGAAACCAATTTAAAGCTGACAAAAATGTTCACCAAATCAATTTGAGTGAAAAAAGGTAACTAAAAGAGGAAAACATGAAATGAACAAAAGTCAACTTTTCGAGGTATTTCCAGCATTACATGTTCTGAACACTTTTCCCTTTGCTTTATTACTATCAGCCTCTCAACTGTTGAGTATTTTTGGATCGTTTGTCTTTAGCTGTCTATTTTTGTTCATAAAAATACATGGAATGAAGAAAAGGAAATAAGAGAAAAGAAATAAAGAGAATGGGAAAAAGAAGAAGAAAAAGGATGAAGAAGACAATTGGTTATTCTTTGTTGATTTGTGTTTTGGTCTTGTTTTCTTGTTGAACGTTCAAGAGTTGTTAGTTTTATTGAATATTGATCAAATCAATCTGATCGTGTAGAGCATCGTAATTGCCTTGCAAAGGCTCTTCTGAAGTCAACATTGAAAATGGTATAAATAACTGGATTCAAAGCTGAATTAAAGTAACCCAACCAGGTAATAAAAGCTCGTACCTCAAATGAAACATACGGATAGAAAGGTATTACTAGGTACATGATGAAAAAAGGTAACCAGCAAATGGTAAAGACTCCCATCACTACTCCCAGTATACGGGCTGCTCGTCTTTCCTTTGATAAACTAATTCTTTGCTTTTCTTCCCAAAACTTGGCCACTGTGTTTGGTTGACCTCCTGATTTGCTTGTCCCGTGCTTTTTGCTGGCTGAACGACTGGTCGATTTGCTCGATTTTATACTTTCATTTATTGTATCACCCGTTGCCGATTCGGTTCTTGATGAATCGTCCATCACTATATATTTGTCTGTTATTGAAGGTAAATTGTGGTCATGACGGGAACCTTGAAGGATTGGTGATGAAGACTGGGAAGAGGATTCATTGGTTCCACAACCAACCGTGTTATCACATCTATTGGTGCGATTATTATTGCTGACAATATTGTTGATTCGGTTGTTGGTCGAGTCGTTTAAAGTTATGTTTGTTGAATTTACAACACTGGCACTAACTGCACCTGACATGGACAATGAAGTTGTTCCCGTTGTGGTTGAATGAAGTCCTATCGATTGATTTGGAACATTGGCACGTTCTCGTAACCTTTTACGAGTCGCTTTGTAAATTTTGTAATAAACTACCGACATGATAACCAGTGGAACATAGAATGAACCTGAAGCTGAATAGATGACGTAACCGATGTGTTCACTGTATTTACAAGGTGTGTCACCGTCAAAGGAATCGGGCCAATCGTTCCAACCGAAAATGGGTGGAATCGAGATGACACCCGAAATTATCCAAATGGCGGCAATTTTACACAAAACGGCTCGGACGGTTCGTCGCTGAGCATAATTGATGGGATCATAAATGGCCCAGTAACGGTCCAATGCAATGGCACAAAGGTTTAGTATGGAAGCGGTGCACAGAAGTACATCCGAAGTGAGCCACATTTCACACAAAAAAGTGCCGAAAATCCATCGATCCAATAGCATATCAACAATACTGAAAGGCATAACAATAACGGCAACCGCAATGTCAGCCGAAGCAAGGCTTACAAGGAACATGTTTTGAACATTTTTCAACGGACGATATGAAAATATTGATATAATGACCATTGTGTTGCCTACAATGGTAAATATGGTAACAGCAGTTAAACTCACAATCATCAACAAAGTCTTTGGTGATTCAATGTTCGGCTCGGTCGAACTAACGGCAACATCATTCCAATCACTTGCGGTCAGATTCAAGTCATCTTCATCCATCGTTCACTAGTGGGTCTCACTTGGTTGCAACGGAATGACAAGGAATCAGAAAGGGAGAAGAATTCATTTACACTTCATTTTCTTCTCCCTTCCAAGAAACTCAAACTATTTGGAACTTGCAAATTCCGTCTCTGTAAATCACTGAACCAAATGAATCTAAAACAAGAAAAGAAATTGTTGAATTAGAATAATTAAATTGAGAGAAAGTTAAGTGTGCAATTTGATTGCAAATTACTTTAGCAAAAAGTCAATTAGTGCAACATTACAAATCTCAATAATAGATGCTAAATGAACTATTAATGAAGCTTAAATTGCACTCAATAAGTAAGTTCAATTTTACATGAACAACAATTGAAGGATTCAACTCGTATCGATCCAAAGTGCCTGGTTAAAAGTAGTTGAAACATTAATTGTTCATGATGGATGATAATATTCAATTAAACAATTGGTTCAAGTAGCAGTTGATGTTTAGCTGTTTCACAGCATTCACAGAACTATTTCAACAATTTTGCAACCAAAATATCACCAAGAAAATGTTTTCCATTCCCTTTACTCTAATCCTAATCATGATCATTATAATGAACAAGATTGATTGTCGAATACAATTTTTTCGACTTTCTACTTCACTTGACATGAATCGTTTAAAGAGTGAAAATTAATACAATTTTGTGACAAAATACAAAAGCAACTCTTTCATTATCATGATAATTAATATTAATAACATTCTGTTGAACCAATGAAACTTGGATTAAGTTAAATTTAATTAAACTTGTTAACCAAAAGTAAATATTGAACAAGCTAATTACAATCGCTTGAATCATTTTTTCCCTTAACCTGAAAACATTTCATTATAAGCAGTTAACGATTCAACAATTTACTAATTGTCGTTAGAGTAAAAGGGAAACTCGAAAATTTATTCCTTCAACTTGTTCTATCATCTTTTCTGGATCAACCAATTTCGTCACTTAAGCCTTTCCAATGTGAAAACGTTTTTGGGTTAAACATAACATTAATGATAAAAGGGTATAACAATTGGAATGAGAATAAAGTGTTGAAATGTTCTGAAGATCAATAAATATCTCAATACCAATTGTTGCTGTTGCTTCATGATCGCTAAGTAAAAATTTAGTTTTCCTTTTTTTAGTTTTTTTCATGTAACTCTTTTTATTGCATTACAATCAACAGTGAAGGTGAACCTAAACTGGTAAGGAAAAGATGAACGAACAGTTGAAATAAGCTAAAGCGTATTATCAACGATTCTTTAAGCCTTTTCTTTCTTTTCGCTTGTCTTTTTTGTGAGGAAACCAAAATACATTGTCAAGACTATTATTGTTGAAAATCGTATCGAGATTCCTATTGAACATATTACCGTGAGTAGAATTTTTCTTTTTTTCTTCTTCTTTCGAACAGATTACTCACTTTTTCTATCATCATTATGCCTTCCCTTTGATTTACTAACAAATGCTTTTAAGCATCACCTTCTGTTCAAGTTTGGCTCTTTTTTCATTTTCCCTTTTCTCTATTCACTTTTATATAAAAATCACAGCGAGAACTTTTTCTTCTTCATTCTATTCTGAACATTGAAAATCTGCAAAGAAAAGCAAAACGAACAGAAAGAGAGAGAAAAAGTGGAAAGAAAAATTATTCAATGGAAGGAATGAGAAAAGAATGGAAAAAAGAATGAAAAGTCAAAACAAATGAACAATTGATCATGTTTGTTAGTTTTTTTCATTTCTCTTTTTTCTTCATCAGTAACTATTTATTGATGTTAACAATAAGAAACATAATCGAGTTGAACAGCTAAAAGTATCGGTAAAAATGAACTCATGATCTCTTGAAATAAGTGAAGATTTCAAGTTTAAATGAAAGTAAAAGAAAAAAACTTTAAACTTGAAAATTCGAAATTTGCCTCCCAGTCACTGGGAGTGAGATAACAGCATAAGCATTACAAGAATAATGGTGATAATGTTGATAGGAACAAATGTTGAACTCGATGTTGAATGTTTTTTGCATTATTGCCTTTTCCTTTCAAATCGCAATTAATCACAATTGTCAATAGTAAAACTTATTGACCACTTGGAATGGGAAAAGTAAAATTATATTTACCTTGGAACAAACTGATTGAGCAGAATAAACGAAACAAGAATGAATTCTGATAATGCTGAGTGCTTTCAAGCTACTTTAAGATTCGTCTTATTCAGGGTTTATCCACTGTTCACAAACTATCACAAAACATGGTCAATCCTGGAATGAAGGTGGATGCATTTTCCAGCTACTTTTGTTTCTGTTGAGTAGCAAAAGAAAAGGAAATGAGTAAATCGTTTCGATTGATGGACACTAAAAGTTGATAAAGACGGAGTCGATAATGAACGGAAAAAGAAAATACAATTTCATGTTTGTTCAATGATCAAAGTTGCTGTTCGAAGTAAGGAAATGAAAAGGAATGGCAAACCCTGAGAAGCGAAATCAACTCGAAGCAGGGAATGACTAACAGAATAATGGTTCAACACAACTTCCAACTCAATATATTGCAACTCTGGAGTCGAATCAATTCCATTTAGTCTTTTTCTGTTCTCTCTCTCTTCTCACTCTTCAACTCTTTTTACACTTTATTCAATATTCTTAGTTCATCATGTTTATCTTCTCATTCACCTTCATTCGCATCATTCAAGTCGATCTCTTTTACCTGGACATTTGTCTTTTCATTTTTTTCTTTTCTTTCCTCATAATCATTCCTTCATTTCGATCAACCAAAATCAGTTTTGTCTGAATTTTCTTCTTTTTTCTCATTCTCTTTCCAATTGAAATTTTCATAATTTTGTCTAGAATAGAAGAAAAAACAATATCGAAGTTGAAAAATTTATTCTTTCCCTTCTTGTTCACCACACTTTTTGTTCGAATGATTAGCTTAGTTCTGGGATTTGACAAAAAAAAATGCTGATTCAACCTTTTTCGTTCATTTCATTGATTCCTTCAATAACAAGTAATGAATCTTTTGAAATCACTGAATTCACCAGGAATTTCATTCTTTCCTTTTGCTCATTTATTTGCACTTTTCTTTATCAAATCGTCATGAAACTTAATAAACTTTAAGATTTTGTTCATTCTTTTCAAACTTCAAATTCTGGTTCTCAAAATTCCAAGTAAATTCGAGCCATCTTATTATTCAACCCAGACATTCAAATCTTTATTCCAACATCAATTCAAAACAAAGAAAAAATATTTTCAGGGCTAAAATTCCACATTGTGACCTTATTTCGGTTAAAATCAATGGAATGCTTTGGAAAGAAATGAGCTGATCTTCATTGGAATCAAACAGAACGAAAGAACTGCAACTAACCAGATTCCATCAATAAAGCTAACATTTTAGGTTGGCTTTTGAAACCCAGACAGTCGCCTGAATAATCATGAAAATATTTCATTGTTGGTTTGATTTTATTGAAATGTGATCAGATGGAAGCTATTTAACTGAACCTTGCTCTGATTCATCATTTAACTGGCTTAATCAGGGAGAAAATTATCATTTCAATGATAGAAGCATGGAAAAAAGAAATAAAATTTTTTTTCTTTTGGTGTATTTAAGATGAAAACTAACTTGACGTTGATGCGCCAACTCTCACCGGATAAACCTTCATAATGATTTGAATGATTTGCGAATAAAGCAGCTTACGATTGATTCTCATTCAATCATGATGAGTAACAGAAAAAATCCAAGCATTCATATTGCCACTAATTTCCTGCAACTGATCACCATCATTAATTCAGAAAGAAAAAAAGTTGTCTCTTGTTCGATTTTCTTTCTTTTTCCATTTATTCTTTGCTTTTTCATCCTCATTATTATGATTATTATTATTATTGAAATCATCTTCCATTGTAATTGAACAATACAATTTGATCCCAGATGGAACTCGAAATGTTCAAAAAAAGAAGAATAAGAAACGAAAATATAAGGCGAACCGAAAAATGGAAAATAGGAAAAGATTCTTATTCCTCTCAAAACAAGCAAAGATACAATCTTTCAAAGCCAATATTGAATTTCATGAGTTACATCGCCAGAACTTCATCATGTATACACTTGCATAAATTCATTTGAAAATCATTATGTTGCTTCATGGAAATTATTTCCCTGGAAGAATGTTGAAATTTGTATCAAAAGTGTGACAATATTTATCCAGTGAAAGAATCGAAAACTTTTAATGAGAAAAAAAACTTTGATGAATATTGAAATAGAAAAATTGTATTCCAAATCATGGAATATTGGAAAATGTTTCACTCCCAGTTGGAATAATCAACTCTTTTCTTTTCCTCTCAAATTATCATTTGAATAGTTCCAACATGACTGTGAATATTGAATGAAAATGTTAATTTGATTGATAGCAGTAAACAGAGGAAAAAAAGTTCATCTTAAGAGTGACAACAATCATCATAAGTGGAATGACAAAAGAAGAAGAAATTCGTTTCATTACTGACTAACCTAATGGGATAACATTGAGCAGTTTCAGTTGATTGACCATTCATCAATCGACCAACAATTGAGCCAAGTTTCGTTGGAACGAAAGGGAGAAAAGAAAAGCAAAAAATGTCGAAAAAAAGCAAAGAAAACAATTTAATGTAAACCATTATCAATGTTAATAAGATTATCTATCATCTGATTATTTGACTTAATAAGATTTATCGGTCTAAATTATATGCTTCAAGAATATTGAATTGACCCTTAACAGCTGATTTAACAGTTGACTTTTTGCTTGGCTCATTGTTGTCTTGTGTTTGATGAAGAAAAAGGAAAGAAATGAGAAAATGATAAACGATAAAGAATCGGAAAAATGAGGAAAAGTTTGTTAACTTGGAGTATTGGATGAAAAGATACAAAATGTTGATATTATATCCAATATAATAATAATGATACACAAGTAACATCATATCTGTTTACATTGAGTAACCTTTTATTGGTTTATAACTTTTTACGTTTTTTCATCTCAAGAGAGATTCTCAATTGATCAGACGACCATGATCATGTTAGACCTTTTTGCTTTCTTTGGCTTTTTCTTGCTTCCTTGGTTATTTGGGTTTTAAGAGAATCCAAAATAAGATTGATGATTTTATCGTTAGGATGAGAATGAAAAGGTTGAATGAAAGAGAAACAAAATTCAACTTTTCGCTTCTTCTCATTATCAGAGGATCGACTTTTAAGGATGAAAAATTGATCAAAAATTATCATTAAACCGACCAATTTTCAATATCGATTCTGGCATAAATATTTTTCTGCTCAAAAGTCGAGAGACTTTTCATTTTCGGTCTTTTGAGCAACGCTTTAGATTAAATTTTTACTTTTCGCATTCAAATTTTTTTCCATTTCATGGTTTGAATGTTTTGAAATGTTTGCTTCTAATGAATACAAATTGAGTGATGAATGAACTTTTAGTTTTCCCTTCAATCGGAATCAATGAGCAAAGGAGAAATCGTGAAATTCTCAGTTTACATTACGCTTTGAATGAAACAAAAGGTTTAGCCAACTTTGAAAATGAATTCAAATTACTTTCATGATCTTTTGACATTTCATTGTCTTGTTTCAGTTGATTGATAAATCGCAAAATTAATGAGCAAAAAGTGTTCATTAATATTAATTTTAGCGAATTAAATATGAAAATTAGCGAAAGAAAGTTAATCATGAAAAATAAATGAAATAAAACAGAGTTGATATTGAGAAATAAAGATTTTGATTAGACATTTATTGAGATGATCGATTGCTTTAAAGGTTGGCTAATTTATGTTCGATTAAACTGTAGACGGTTAAATTCATTATCGATGAAGATTATTCAAATAACAAAGGTGAGAAATTAAAGGTAAAAAGAAAATTGAAAAACACGAAAAGCCCGCAATTAGAATGGATTGCACTTGTTTCTGATTACTTCAGTTTATTATTCAGTCGTTGATCTTTATGTTTGTTTGAAAAGTAATACTTTTAGGTTATATAAATAAGGGCGATGATTAATATTATACGACAGTTAACACACTTTTGTTTGGTGTAATAGACTGGTTTAAGGTGATATTGCATTGATGAATGTAGAACTTTATGAATGAATATTAACTTGAGAAATTAAAATCTCAGAATTTAAGATAATGAATTATTCTCTCTGTCGATCAATTTTTTATTGGTTTCAGAAGGTTGTATATTTAGGTCGTGAGTATTTGAGCAATGAGCTATTTTCTTGGAGTCCAGATGAAAAAAGTTTAGGTTGCATGTTTTTGGATGCTTGTTCAACATTTGATTGTGGTTTCAGGACAGAAACAAAACCAATAAATCATCATTTGTTGTAGACCTGTATAAGCATCAGAATTCTCATGAAGACTCAAGTAAATTGGAAACGATAAAAAATAGAATGTGAAACAAAATTGAACACAATTAAACGTTAAATTATCGAAATATAATGTGAATCACTGTTATTCCTTTCATCTGATGACGAAAAATCTCAAGATTTACTGGCCTTGTTTCCGTTATTACTAGCACAGGGCTTATAAGTGCTGGCATTTTTTATCTATTACTGTGCACTACTCGATTAAAATTCACTTAGGCTTTTCTCAAAAACCAGTTCTAAAATCATTTTAGTGCACATGTGCTTGAGAGACAATAAGAACAGCGCTCAAAAGTAAATATCACTCACTTAACCTATGCAGCGAAATTCTTGGACAGATAAGATAAAGATTTTTTTCAGGAACTAAAAGAGATAAACGGCTGAAATTTTCAGCAATTATATATCTTAGCATTATTAATAGCCAGTAGAAATTTGAAAATTTTACAAGAAATATTTCAGTGTTTATTCGACTGTTTTGAAAATCGCGCGTTTCTGTATTTTTTCCAAAACCCTCAACTCTAAATTAATAGCTTATTTCAATGTCCTCTAATCCGCTTACGATTCCTAAAATCTGGTGTATTTAAGCATTTTCTATTAATATGTAACCTCAAGTTTATGTTGATGACTTTGCGGCTCGAAATTACAACGCACTAATTAATAGGATTAAAAATAAGACAAAAATTATGCTAAAAAAGTTAGACCCCCCCATATTTTCGAGCCACATGAAAAGTCCTAAATGAGCATGAATGCAATCTTGGATTATAGCTTGAGTTATATCATCTTGAAGCTCTGATCTGTAGCTACGCATTGCTACCAAATTTGTGTATCTACCTTTAGCCGTTAGTTAAATAAATGATCTGGAACAAGTTGTCCAAGAATTTCGCTGCATAGGTTATAAGCACTATACTGGTTTGTGCAGGAAGACGATAGCTAAGCCATCAGCTCTGGGCTTATGAAATGGGTCTTAGTGATCCGAAGAAAAAAGACATTTCTGGATCATCTTTTGATTTATCATGTTGCATTTGATCGTTAAAAACGATGAATTGGTGATCAAACAAATTAGTGAAATGAAATATTCATATGTCGATGTTGCAATGGGAAGTAATTAATCACAGAAATTTCATGATTATATCCATTTAATTATATATCATTCAATTAATCGCAAGAAGCTGTGAAAAAATTGCGTTGATTACCTGTTAATACATTTACTCTTTTCCCGATTAACTTTCTAATTAGGATAACATTTCAGGTTGAACAAGATTAATTTGATTTTTTATCTATTCTCAAGTGGTTTAAGTAAAGATAAACAGTAAAGTTTTGATCAACTTTACATCAATTTGATTACAATTAAATGAGAAACTAACGAGAAAAGTGATTCATTTTCTTGCATGGATAAAGTTCAATGTTGATGATGAATTATCTAGTTGAGTTGATAAAGGGTTTCTCAAAGTTGGAAATCCAATTGAAAGATGTAATCACAAATCATAATGAAAAAGAAACGCAAAAAATTTAACAAAAAAAGCGATTAATGAAGTTGCAAAAAACCTCAAGTTGAGACTATTACAATCAATTGAACAACTTTTCGTGTTGATCAAAAAAACAACAAAAATTTTAACCTTTCATGTGATAATGAATAAGAGAAAAAAATGAAGAGCTTAATTTAGTTCTTTTTTCATTCAATTTCAACTGAATAGATGCGGATGAGGCAACCAAATTGCTACCTAATTCAAGGTTAATTGGATTGTTTGCTTTTGATTGTTACGATTGGAAGCAATTTCAATATGATAATTATCATTGTACGCCATTCATTGACTTCAATTAGCCACTGATTAAGATGAGTGTAAAAGTGTTAACCAGACAATCAAATTAATTATTCATCATCACCCTTATCCAGTTTTATTGAAAAGTATATGCTTTAGCTTTATTCATTTGTTTATTTCGATTAACTTCCGTTACAATTTTCGTTTTCACCAATTTTCCAATTCCACTCATCATGATTATTATAAATGAATATTAATGAATCTTGTTTTCTCTGTGAATCCAATTCGTCCAATTTTCACACTAAAGAAAAAAGAAAAGCGAAATTTTCTGAAAAAAAAGATTTGTTGCGTCAATAACGTTCAATTGTTGTTCATTTATGGTCATTTTGATTACAACTTTAGATAGCAATTGTTGGTGAAAAAGTTGCTGTGAAACATTGGGAAATAAAAGGCTAAAGTAACTTGTTTCTTGGAAATTATTTAATCTCATTAATGAGCCGACAATTGAGCTAATTTGAACACTTATGTTAAGTTTAATAAAAAATTGTTTTGTTTGAAATTTGTTGGTTTCTTTCATCTTGTATCGTCAATTAAATGAACAGAAATGCCATTAAAGCTATTAGCTTAATTACGTTAATATTTTTTGCAACTTTTGATTCTCATTGGTTGTCATTTGCTTTTGAATTATTGAGAGCTTCCATCAAACATAAAGAAAACACTTTTTTCCCTTTTTCATGGGCTTTTTATTCACCACCATGATGAACATCATTGAAGGCAATGCAAGGTGCACAATGATAACCATCATGTTTCCATGTTGTATCAATTTAATTCATAGATTTACTTATTTTCGTTGTAATCTATTTTCATTGAGATTCAATCACTTTTCATGAATGAATAAATGAATGAATGAATTGGCACGAGATGAAAATGAGTAAAATCTTGTTCGTTTTGAATCACTTTTCCATGATTACTGTTGCAATTATCATTTTGTTATACTTTTCAGTTGACAAACTTCAAGGTTTCTTACAATAGAAAAGATGAAAGTGAAGTTTTTTCATTGAAATAAAACAATCTTGTCCAAACACTTACTCATCCTTTTAATGAAGACTCAAAAGTCTTTGTTTCATTCAATGTTAATCAGTTTGGAGCAAATTTTTGTAAAAATGATTAACCTTGAATGGAGCTAAAAAAAGAGTAAAAATTTTGATCCTTAATTTTTCCATTACTTCAATGTAAATATTGATATTGAATCGTTCAACTTTTCATGGGTTTATTGAGAAAATTTGGCCTAGAATCTTTGCCTAGATGAGGAAAATTGAGAGTGGAAAAAAGAGTAAAATTTGAATTTAGAAAAATGAAAATAGGAAAAGTGAATGTTCAAGTGGCGCAAACAAGAAGTGATTGAAATAGTTCATTACAGAGTATAAAAGGCATAATTCAAATGAGAGCACATTTAACGAGATTCATTATCATATCAATTTCAATTGTAAGTGTTGATGTAAAATAATGGATAAAAATGAGTGAGTTTTGGGGTAGAAAAAAAAAGTTGAACAATCAAAGTGATAATCAGTTGAAGCTTGAAAATGGGGAAATAAAAGTACAAGCAATTTTAATTGGAGAGAGAAGATGATAAGAGAGATAAAGTGAGGGAGGAAGAGAGACAATGGAAGAGATGATAGAGGAGTGAAAGTGAGCTGCAAATTGTAACCACATTGGTATTTTGCATTAACACTTGTTTCGTTGTCATCATCATTTACTTTTATATCTGTGTCATCGTTGGTCTCATGCTTTTTATTTATCACTTTACTCGGTGAAACGCAAATTTTGACGCAAATTTTGCTGATCACGGCTGGCTCTTGATCAGTCCTTTGGACGTCAACCTTTTGTGACACTCACTTTTTATATTGACACGCTTCCACAGGGAACAAAGTAAAGTGCTTAGAATAGTTTTATTGCCTTTTGTAGGTTATTGTGCTTTTACTTGGTGATCCACTTACTTGGTGACTTTACCCTCATCTACCTTCACTTGCTCATTGCTTGTCCTCCACTCAATCCATTGTTAACACTAGCCTTTAACGAGACTTACGATGCCTGCTTATGGTTCAGTTGAACCAAACCCAGTTGCCAAGTATAAAGGACGCTTTAGCATCACCAACCTTGACCTGAATGCTGTAAATGTTGACCCTGGTGGCTACGAGAATCCCGTCTTTACTGGAGATGGTTCAGTTCCACCTTCACCTGCACCTTCGGTTCTCTCCATGTCCAATCCCGTGGTTCCTCCAAAGAACCGTAAATCATCAATCATCTTCCCGTCTTACCTTAGACGCAATGGTAACATGGACAATGATAGTCTATCAACTCTTCAAACCGAGTCTACCAATAATCTTCATGTGTACACAACTATTAACCACGAATCGATACCAAGGCTTGAAAATTATTACCGGGAACTTGGTATAAGAGGTGCTCGACCCACCATTGATGAGCTTCATGAACCAATGAAAAGTGACGTAAGAATCACAATTGAATTTAGTTGACCACAAAAATGATAAGAAAAAGTAGAAAAAAATTTAAAAGCTAATCTTTTAAACTGAAACTTATTATCAATGTTGACAACAATAACAGATTGGTTGACAAGAGACAAAATAGTTGACACAAAAAATTGACTTTAATCTAAAGGTTAGACGGAAATAGACTGAAAGCCAGACAAGCTCTTAGCTGACCATTAAATTATGAAATATTTTTCTATTTTTTGCCTTATTTTCATCCGAATCGACCTTTGCCATTGAGTCTAACTTTTACCTTTTTTAACCTTTTCCATTGCAATAGTTATCCTCAAGTGAAAATACGTTCATCAAAAATGTATCCAATGACAATTCAACTTGGACAACTGTAATTGAAAGCCCAGCCAAGCCCTCGACTGCTCTTACTGCAGTCAAATTTGGCTGGTTTGAAGGTGTCTTTGTACGAACCACAGTCAACCTGTTAGGTGTAATGTTATTCCTGAGAATGGGTTGGATGACTGGAAGAGCGGGAATCGGTAAGGCTTACAATTTGAAACTTTATCTTCTTTACAAACATAGACTTTGCTCAGTTAGACGAAATGTTTAAATTGACAATTTTCATGATTATTCATCACCTGAAAAGTTGTGTTTAAGTTAATCTTTTACCATCAACTCTTTACCTTTAAACTTGTTGATGCTAATAATTAATTTCAAATCTTTTTTAATCTCTTTCAATGCCGAAGATCAAACAAATCAAAATTAATTTTCATTATTTTTTCATCATTACTCCAACTTTCATGAAACTGGCAAGGTTTATCATAAGTCACAAAATTTCACTTTGCAAATGTTTCACCCTTTTATGTCAAACTTTATCTATGAGATACAAACTAATTATAAACTCATTAATTAGATAAAAATTTATCAACTTTGTTTAGAATTAGTAACATTTTTTGTGAACTTTTTTTTCGTCAAGCACAAAAATCTTGCTTAAACATGAAAGATTGAACACAAAGTTCGAAAAAAGCATTCATATCCAAGTTCAAATATTTTTGGCTTTTTCAGATTCTTTTCATAGAATGTATAATTCGGGTAAAATTTGAAACAAATTTAGCAAAACAAAAGTTCATTTTCTTTTCCAAGTTTCGATTTTCGAATTATCTGAATTAGCAAAATGATTTATCAAAAAAATGAGATTCATTGACAAGTTCATGGAAAATGAAAGTTTAAATTAAATTCTGTTAAAACGAATGAACTAGCAAAAAGTATTTTTCAAAATATCTAGTTAATTAGTTGACAAATATAAGTTTCAGGATTGCAGCAAAATTTGAGGAAAAATATTTTCATTTTCTGTGGAATATTCTGAAGAAAATTCATCTAAAATGAAGTTAATTTGGTTAATCCGAGTTGATTTATCGTATTCATGAGAATTAAGAATCAGAATTGACTGGGAAATTGTCCTTGAAGTTGTTATGGGCAGCAGAAAAGAGTACAAAACCATGGAGAATAAGTACATAATTGCGAAATTGTGATTACATGAAAAACAAAGTTTCGCTCCCATTTCTCTTCTTTTTACTTCTAACTCATTCATGATATTCATTCATGAGCTTTAAGTTGCGTTGGTTGCAATGAAAATGAGATCAAACCAAAAAGAGTTGTAACTATGAATGAATTTTTTCCTCTTCACCATCATGAAACATGATTATCATTTTCTCGTGAGTTTATAATTGATTGCTTCCAATTACATAATGAAATTGGTAAAAATGATGAGAAAATTGGCTGAAAATGAAAGTTTCGTTAATTAATTATTTATCATCGCACTTGTTTAGTTGATGGTAAAGTTACGATTTTAGTTTTTCTTCGTTGCTCATGTTTCTTTTGTTGACTTTTGATATTACATTTTATTTTCCGATTCAACTCATGATGATTATTAATGAACATCAATGAATATTGATGAATCTCTTCGTATGTCTTTAACAAGACGAATTGCGCTAATCAAATAAACTCAAATTGTCTTTCAGATTCAATAAGCAAATCCATTTTCTTATTGTTATTTGAGATTTTCCTGGAAAAATCAATTTTCATCATTTAGAATCCATTCAATTTTGCATGAACACTTGAATTTCTACGGAACAATAATGTTATTTTCAATGAAGATTCAGAAAAAAAGTTAACTTTAGAATAGAAAAAAAGCAAAAAATTTTCGCTTCTTCATAAACTTCAATCAAAAAACTTCTTTGTTCTTAGTTTTTATTCAAATTCTTTCAATTCGAAAAGCAAATTCTATTCATACATTGAAACTGAACTTTTTGTTTTTGAATTTTGAGAAAAGTCATTTCAGGTTCAATCGAAATATTTAAACGATTTCGAATGCTTAAATTTGTTCTCTCGTCCAGTTGACTGAGCTTCAAGGAGTTCGCTGGAAAATTTGCTCAACTTTTCCACATTGATTTGCATTTGAACATTTCAGGTTAAAATGAATTTAATGATTTTTTGCTTCATTTCTTTCCATTCACTTTAGTTGTTGCACTTTTACAAATTTTAATTTCAACGGCAATAACCTGCTTGACAACCCTTTCAATGAATGCTCTTTGCACCAATGGTGATATTGGAGCTGGTAAGTTGAACCTTTTGAACGAATCATTTTTCGAAAAAGGAAATTTTCTTTTCTTTAAATTCTTTACCAAATTCTAAACTTTAACCTTTAAATTCTTAAGGTGGAATCTATTCAATGATATCTCGAAGTCTTGGTCCTGAAGCAGGAGCCATGATTGGAATCATTTTCGCCTTGACCAATGCAGCCTTTGTTGGGTTGAACTTGATTGGTGCTGCTGAAGCTGTTGTCCAAATATTTGATGTAAAAACATTTTCTTCTTTTTTTATGCTGACCATTCTGTCAACATGGAACCTAATAATTTCAACAAACTTTAATCATGGATAAATGCAATTCTTATTTCAAACATTCCTTCATCTCACCGAACTCGATTCATGAAATTAATTTTTCAATCTTTTCTTTTCTTTCTTCACAGCATTTCGGTATTGGCATCATTTCAATTCCACATTGCGATAATGATGTGAGACTCGTTGGAATCTTGTTTTTGATTTTAATTGCAATCATTCCAATGATTTCATTATCATTCGAAGCCAAGGTAAGAATCGTTCATTTTCTCGAAAACTTTGAAATTCTTTTAATCATCAATCATTTCACATTAGACTCAAGTTGACAAATTGTTGCATCAATCAATTCAAACTGTTAAACAACTCTTGATTGATGAAACTCTGATCATCTTGAAAAGGTTCGTCTGAAAATTTCATCAAACTTCGAAAAAGAAAAAATTCCAGAATTTCGAATCAAAACATTTCCCAAATTTTGCAACTTTATATCAATAATGATTAATATTTAATTTTGAATATTTTGGAATGAAACCAAAAGAATCAGATTCGAGCTTCATTTTTCATAACGAATTTTTTGTTTCATGTTCAATAATAAATTGAACTTCAAGTTTACTCATTTCCAAGCCAATTGATTATCAATCAAACTTTAGCCATTTGTTTAGCAAAGTCAATATCGAGCTTGGCTGATCAGTTTGGATTGAAACAGATTATGATAATTTCTCGTCGATTCATTTTGACATTCAAAACATTTTTGTTCGACAATTTTGCGTTCTTCTTTATTTGGCTGATTTTCATGAGAAACCATCATTCAATGCCATTTCAAACAGTCGATCATGATGGTTAAATTGTTTTTGCATTTCTTTTTTTTCTTTTCACTATTTGTTTGCATTTGTCAAACAAAAGAGCAACTGAAAACAATCAGAATCATCATCATGAAACAATAATATTTTACATCAATTTAAGGATTGAAATGTTAACAAGAACAAATGATGAAAAGTTGAATTTTCAGATGGAAATGAATGAAATCTTTTCTTATCATTTAATTGAAATATTTCTTCTTTTCGATGAAACTTTTTAAAGTTTTTCCATGATTGACAGTTTAAATCCTAATGAGCAAGTGGTTTTCAAGGTGCTGTTCATGATTGCCTGACAAGTTTCAACAATGAACCAATGAAGCTGATCAATGATAATGATGATACGAGAAAAGAAAAGTTTCACCCAATCAAAGATGAACACTGAATGAAAAATTTGTTAATGAAACTTTTCGTTTAACTCTCTTTGTAAATGAGTCTTGAATAGTTTTACCTTGCAAAATATGTCATATTCATTGCGATTGACGGTTAATTGACTTTCTGTTTATACTAATGTAACATTAATAAAAAGCTGACTCGAGCAGATTCTAAAGGCAAATCAATGAAACCTCAATGTTAGTAGTGACCTGAGTCTAGTTTGTTTCGAGCAACTAATGCTCTTTACATGAAATGATTCCATTGGTTGTGACGATTCAGCAGCTTTAAAGCTCACAGCAAAAGTATTGAGAATTGAATATTAACAAGTTTTAGCTGTTGAATGAAAAACTCGATCTTGATTTCAATCTTATTTTCTGTAGATTAATTAAATTTTTTTATGTTAATGGTCTAAACATGATGATGCACCGAATTAGAATCTTAATGCAGAAATTTCTGTTCAAATCAATATTTCCAAGTGAGCTAACAATGTACTCAAAATGTTTAAAAATCAAACCGATCGCAATGATATTTTCTTGATACTTTTGCACTGAGATTTATTCAGATCTTTATCTTATCAATGAATAGTAACCCATGATGAAATCGCAAGATAATGTTCAAAGTATCAATTGCTGCATCGAAGTATAAAAATCGTGCTTTTCTTGAAAAGTGTTTAGTCGAGTGATAAAGTATTGAATGATATTAAAACTCGGATTTTGTGGCTTTGCAAATTGAGAGTTGAGTTTGAAGTTTGTAAATAAGAGTAAAGTTTAATCCTAGAAATAAAAGAACCAGAAATCGATTATTCAACGCAAAATTGTCATTCAACATTCACAGCGAACTATTCCATTGCCATGTATTTCATGAAATAGTGTCTTGATTGCAGTTCTATTTATGACTCACAATGTTTTGTTTTTCGAACTTGATATCTCTTGAGATTTCTGGTTGAAAATAGCTATTGAATGAAATTAATATTCAGATGGGCTTTTCTTTATTTTGCCGCCTTCATGTCATGATACTATTTGCATAAACAATACTGTAAACAACTTGGTGTTTAGTATGCGAATAGTGATGATGTTCATTCAAAGAGATGAGGAAAAATTGTTGATATAAAAACCTGAAAGGTTAAAATTCTCTTGAGAATTTCACTTTTACGTGAAAAAATGAATTTAATTTGTGCTTCCAAACAGCTAACATTCCTTTCCTGATAAAGTTCAAGTCGACCTTTAACAGAGAAAAAAATCTTCGAAAAGCAAAAATTCTTCCACCTAAACCAATCTCATCTAATAATAGCTATTGAATTCCATGCAAATTCGAGTCTGAATAGTAAACAAACGCAAAGTAAACACAAAACTGTGTCAATATTGAAACATTTTTTTCTTATCCAGTTCAACTGGACCGAAACTTCTGAACAAATGAATCAATAGTTGGATAATGTTCACAAAATGCGAGTAAAAAAGGATTTCTAGATGAGAAGAAAAAAGGTGAAGAAAAAGTGGATCGAGTATAATCATGTTCTGATTCAATGCTAAATTCAAGTTGCCATGATTTACGATTCACGATTATTTAATTCTCAATCCTTTAATCAACAGAAGGAAAAGGCTGAAGAGAAGAAAATAATTTGAAATAAACTCCAAGTAACTCGAGTTAATAAACATTTTCTTCATCATTATTTCGTTGTGTTATTACGCTTGAATCAAATTGAGTGAATCAACAAGGCGAAGCAAATGCGTTCTCATACCTGTTACTGGGTAATTACCTGGATATGTAAAAAGAATTGGAAAAATGGAGGAAAAGTTATCATGAAATGTTGCAACAACCAGATAGCTCAATGATGCTGATGATAAATTGTGAAAATGAGTTTACTTGATATTATTTATATAAATGATGCGTAACTGTTGGCTTATTAATAAGCCTTTTATTAATATTATCTTTGAAGTAAATGAAGAAAAAAAAGGAAAAACGAAAAGCCTTAAACAACCTTTTCTTTTTGTGTTCTTTTGGTTGCTTTTGATCGAGCTTGTCATTAATACAAACCAAAATGAACTCGATGAGTTTAGAAAAATGATGAAATTTAGTCTCTTGTTCATTATTCGTAACATGATGTCACATGAAGTTCGATGGCAGAAGTAAAATTTTGACACTTTTCATCTTCATTCATCATTTTGATAAACATGATTGTAATCATTAACAAGTCTTTATTTTCATTCACATTTTGATTGACGGAAAAGTTGATAAAAAGTAAAAGTAAATGGAAAAATATTTTCATCTTTTGGTGAAATGTTGCGATTTAATGTAATTAACGATGAATCAATGTTTATATTGATTCAATGATCATCTGAGTTTGGAAGAAAAACTTTTTTTGCTTTTTTTTGTTCACTTTTCTGATCAACTTTCAACTGACATCGTTTTCCTTGTTGATCAATGGTCAAGTTGATTGAACTGAAACTCGATTGTCCATGTTATTGATGTTTCAATGTTGATTTCGTTCTTGAATATTCAATTGATTCTCTTTTGCCATGTCATGTCTATTCATTGAATTTTCAAATTGATACATTTAATGCATTTTCACTTGTTTGCCATTGAATGGGAACAAAAAGAGGTGAGAAAATTTCATTGTCAATTGAGTTCTTTTTACCTTTACATGGTAACAATAAGGTTGTCTGTTCCTCTTATCTTTATTTGAATAACACTTGACATTAGTTTGGAAACTCTGAGTTTATTCTTGAATCTTTTTTTTCTCAAGTTTTCTCTTTGTTGCCATTTCATTCTTTTCTCAATGTTTCAACTCGGATTGTTTTTATCCAACAATTTAAAACATTTGAAACCTTTTGTTGTCAGTTATTGTGATAATTTGAATCGTTTTATTCTCATTAGTTTTAAACTACATTTTTCGTCAGTTTAATATTTCATGATAATTTCATTGGAAAACTTTATCAATGTTGAATATTTGATCATGAAGCGAAAACTTGTTGTTCTCAACTTTTCTCAAGTTGTTTGTTTTTCAAGTTGAAACTGTAAATGGACTGAATGATGATTCTGTTTGATCATTTATTAGTTGACAGACAGAAGACTGGGAATTGAGCTTAAGATTAAGCTGTTCTTATTTTTGTTTTTATAAGTTTTCTTTTCATTCCTTCTTCTCAATGGTCAATAGTATAGATTTTTATTTGACACTGGACATTATACTTTTGGTGTGAAAAAAAGATGTTGAAAGGAAAAGAAGATGAAGATGGCAACAAAGAAGACAAGGAATGAAGGAGAAAAAACAAAATCCTTCCTTTGAAAGAGCAAAGCATCTGACAGAAGGCAAAAGATGTTGCCTTTGAGGTGACAAAATGTACAGAGGTGATTGAATGGATTGAACATGAAAGTGTTTGAATCGAATCAAAGTGGTGCTAATCGTCATCATTGATCTTCAGCTTTGAGAAGCTCATCTCAGCCCAAATCGTATTGATTTATGTGATGCTGTCATTGCAAGGTAATTCATGTGCGCTTACATTAAGTTGCTTGAGCTTTTCAACGCTAAAGGAAACTACGAAACGAAAAATATTGAAAAGTTGGTTTCAGCTCGAGAGAATTCCATTTAATTTCTGAATGTCTCGATAATTCTATCAGTTCTATCCATTTTTTATCCCTGAGACATCAATTGATAATAGCTTTAGAACAACTCTTCAAAGAATTGAGTTCATCATTTCGATTAGAAAGCAAGAACCAAAAAACCCAAAAACAGGAAAATTCGTTAAAGATTGAAGTGTCAGAGTTTTTTGCAGTTGCAAAGCTGGGAGAATTTTTGAATTCGTTGATTCAAAATTCGAAATGCAAATCACTTGAGAAGAACATTTTCAATGAAAATATTTGAAAAGCAACGATTAGCAGTAAATCGTTGATAAGTTTCGTCTGGGAGTTTTTATCTTGATGAGTTGTTGAACTGATCTCGAAGGTGATGAAGTAAAAGTAGATTGATTTTGTTTTTCATTTTTTATTTTCATTTCGTTTTATAGTAAACGTGATTTACTATCATTTTTCTTTGCCTTCAAATGAATGAAAATTTGGTCATTTTTTGTCTCTTGTATTGAAAAATGGAGTGAAATGGTTGGAATGGAGAGTTGGGTGAAAATTTTTTAGCTTCTTCTTCTTCTCACGATAATGGACACTAAGTAGTAAAATAAATTGAGTGACCATTGAGAGTTGAACAATGATTGGGAATAAGAATGATGACTCTGAATGTTTCACAGAAGAATGTAGAGGTTTCTTCGTAAACAGTAAATAGTAAATCATGAAGACAAGAAAATGATGAAAAATGGAAATAGTGAAAGTTCAATTTTAAATGTTGAACTGATAAAGGAAGAAAGGCAAACAAAATGGAGATTTCATGATACTTGAGAAAAAGAATTGAAAATAAAGTAAAAGTGATAATAACTCAGAGGAAAGGAGAAGAATCATGAAACAAATATAAATACTTAACATGGGAACGAGAAAAATGATGACAATAAGGAAAGGTTGAGAAAGTTATAAAACAAAATCTGGGTCGAAATGAGTGACGAACAAAAAATGAATCATGAATCTCAAGTCGTGCTCAACTCTTGACATTATTCAGAATTTTCCTCGAAATTTTTCAAAACATTTCCATTAATTCGATTCAAAACCTTAGAATTTTTTATAACTCAGAATTTGAGTTTTCAATTAAAGTCTTTTGCTTATGAATTTTTCATCGTTTCAAGAACTCTGAATATTAGCCAAACCCTGTAGACTGAGGTGTGTTAAATCGCTTCAAATGAAAAGCTTTATTGGAACTTTATTTTCGAGTTTTTTTGGTCGAAAAATTACTTTTTGATTATTCATAACGAAATCGTTTCAATGCTCTGTTTGAAGTTTGAGTTTCTATTTTCATTGCTTTTTTCATGATTTTTTCATACTTTAAGAATTTGATTCGTAAATTTTGCATATAATCTTGAAGATTGAATTTTGCAGCTTTTCATGCTGTTTCACCTTATTCATTACTCACCAAGATGTTGAATTCTTTAACATGAGTAAAGAATCACAGAACATGAATAATACCCTTACCACGAACACTTTTTTTACGATTCTTTTTACAACTTTTTTCTTTACTTTCTAAGCTTTTACTCTTTGCCTTTTCTGTTGAACTTTGATTGTCTCACAATATTCATTTATGTAAACAAATGGATTCTCTGAGTTTTTTATTGTCAACCAATCATGTTTTAATGATGATAAAAGGCGTTGTGAGTGAAAAAAGATGAACTTGCTTGTTTGTTTCGTGTGTTTGTCTGTGTAAAGTGAATGCTGAAAGTAAACTTATTCATGATGTTCTTCATGAGAACCGGAAATTTAATTAAAACAATAACTGATTTGACTTTTTTTCTTCATCTTTATCATTATTTTCACTTTTCCATTCAATTTCTGAATCTTTTCTCTTCTCATTCTTTGTTTATTCTCAATTGATTTATGTTTTAGCAAAAAGTTAATTGAATTTTTATAGTCGTTTGTAAAAGCAAAAAATACTTCCTCTTCTCAGTCACTAGCAAAGGGTGACAACAAGGACAAGTTTCATCGCAAAAACAATGTCACTTCAACTCTTTGTTTCACTTTAAATTAAAATAGATAATAGATTCTTTCGATATCATGAACCATGGAGTCATTTTAGATTCTTTTAGCAATTCATACAATCGACGAAATTATTTTATTCGAATAAGAATTCTCAAGATTTTTTGTGATTCCTTCAGAAGCAGAGTATGATTAATTCGTGAAACTCTGAGTTATGAGCTGATCTGCAAAAGGTTGAGTTGAAGAATTGAGCCGCATGAGAATTTTCCAAATCGAACAAAATTTCAAAAGAAATTTTTGGATATTGAGTATCGATGCAACCCTTGAAGCATCTAAATGTATTATTCGATAAATAACGAGTCTGGATATGAACGAAGAAAGAATTCTGTCAAATGTCGAACAGTTTCACCAAAAATCGAATATTAAAACATTTTTCATGCGAAATTGGAAATCGATAAAATTGACTGAATCATGAATCGATAAGAATCAGGAAGAATATATCAAGTAAATTGGTAAGAAAATTAGAAACCAATATGTTGAACGAAATTCTGATTCTTGACTAAACTCGAAAATCTGTATTATCTGTTAATCTGACAATATTGCGTTTGGATGTCAGTTGCATGAAGGAAACAAAAGATTATTTTTCCAATTTCCGATTTTCATGTGATTGCTCAACTCGAGATTCCTTTTTTGCTCGCATTAATCAGTTCAGTCAAGTAGATAATAATTGAATCGATACTAAATGAATCAATTAGAAGAATCTTAAAGACTTCGAAGCTCGACTTTCCAAACCAATCAATAGACATTCAAACAAAGAGAAATGAATAAATTTTGTAAAATCTTGAAAAATTTTCGTTTCGATAAAGGAAGAAATTCTCTTTGCATCATGAAAGTTGATGTAAACTCCGCTTCGAAAAGTTTGACATTAATATTGAAAGACTTTTCGTTTGAATAGATTTCAACATTTTACTATTGAATTGAATTTTTATCAGATGCATGAAGATAGAAGAGACGCAAATTGAATGTTAATATGAGATTATTTACAGTTTATTTCAATTATTGAGATGAATATGGCATTGTTTGAGGTTACATGAGATAAATTGAATTTCTGGTTTTGTTCATTTTTCTCTTTTATTCACTTTTTTTTCTTCTAATGATAATTCTCAAGATGATCATGATTTAAGAAGATTTACTCGGAAAAGAAGAGAAAACAAAATGTTGATAAAGATTCAAGGATTGACATTAAAAGAGACTTAAGATGAATGAAGGAAAACAATAAAGTCTAAAGTATCTTTACATTTTTCTTGGTCTTATCACAAAATAATGTTTACTATTGAATGGAATAAAATTTTACGTTTATCCTCATCATTATCATCATCTTCATCTTTTACTCCAACAAGAGCCAGATTTGATTACAGTTAAATTGAATGTTTAACTTTGAAAGGATTTACTGGATTTACCATGAAATTAGAGTTGGATTTATTATCCAATTACGATTGTTTGCTTTAGTGCTTTCCACATTGAATGATAATTTATTGAAAAAAATTCAGTTGAGCGACTAATTGAAATCGTTTGATTTGCATTTTTTAATTTTTTTCCGATTCTCTTTTCAGACGCAAACATTTTTCCTCATCATTTTGGTAATTTGTATATTTGACTATTTTGTTGGAGCACTTTTACCGCCGAAACTGGATCAACAGAGAAAAGGTTTTGTCGGATGGAGCCATGAAGTTGCCATGAGTAACATGTGGCCCAAGTTTGTGCCCGATGAAGGCTTTTTCACCGTCTTTGGAGTCTTTTTCCCTTCCGTTACACCCATCTTTACAGGTGCCTGTATGTCGGGTGACCTTCGTGATCCGGCCGCCGCCATTCCTAAAGGAACTTTTCTTTCCATTTTCTTTACTTCAACAACCTATGCAGTATTTATCGTCATCTTGGGATGGACAGTTTCTTCCTTTTCAACTGGATCCATGAGCCAATTTCCTTTTACCAATATAACCAACTGTAATCAAGGCGACTGTCCTTATGGTTTAATTTATGATTACAATACAGTTGCACTTTCTTCTGGGTTGACCCATGTTGGCCTCGAGATTGAACCCTTTATCTACATTGGTATTCTCGCTGCTTCCCTTTCTTCGGCTTTGGGTTGTTACATGGCTGCTCCAAGGATATTTCAGTCTTTTGCTGAAGACGGCCTCATTCCCGGTATTGCCTGGTTTGCCAAGGGTTACGGTCCTTCCAATGATCCAAGACGTGGTTATCTTTTGACTTTTGTTGTGGCCGGTATCTTCACTTCCATTGGTAATCTCAATCTGATTGCGCCTTACATTTCCAACTTTTATCTGATCTCATTTTTTCTGGTCAACATTACCTGCTTCCATGCTGCTTGGGTTAAAACTCCTTCCTTTCGACCTGCCTTTAAGTATTTCAACAAATGGGTCAGCCTTATTTCAGCGGCTCTTTGTTTTATTCTCATGTTCCTCTTGGACTGGATTTCGGCCTTAGCAGCGCTTGTTCTCATGCTCATCATTTGGCTTTACATTTCAAAGACGGAAACCAAAGTCAACTGGGGCACAACTTCGGAAGCTCAACTCTTTAACGTTGCTCATTCCGCAGCGATGAAACTCTATTGGACCGAAGAACACGTTAAAAACTATCGACCCAACATTTTGGTTCTTACGGGTAACCCGTCAGCACGTCCAGCCTTGATTGATATGGCAGCCTCATTGAGTCGAGACTATGGAATGCTCTTCCTTGGACACATCAAAAGAGGTCCCATTTCATTCGAGGCCCGAAAAAAAGCCAATGCTGCGCAAAAGGTTTGGCTTCGAATGAGAAAAGTAAAAGCGTTTTATATTCTGACGGAAGGTGAGAACTTACTCGATGGCTGTCAACGAATGATTCCGGTAAGTTAGACTATTTAAGAATCTGAATTGAATCGGCAATTCTAAAGACCAAAGTTCGAGGATTATTTTATCAAAGTTATTTTTTTTGTTTCATTCATAATGAATGATGATTAACTTGTTTAACAGTTTTCTTTGAGCCAATCAATTATGAGAATTGTCATCTTCTGAGTTTCATTTCAAATGATCGGCTTTACAGATTACTCAATGAAGAGACAATATTATAATACCTTTTCCAATTTACTCCACATTTCATCTTTTCATCACTAGTCTTTCAATTGTAAACACATCAATCAATTGATTAATCAACTGAAAAGCTTATCATTAAAGGTTTAAGAATCAAACCTTTCTCAACTCTTCCTTTACTTTTCATGATAACTGTCAAAATTTGCTCTTTTTGTCTACCGTCTGTTCACTTTGTATTAAATCATTGAAAAATGTTGAGCAAGAACAAAGCTAAATTAATCTTCTTTTTCTATCAAATTGATCATCATCATCTTCATCATCCTCATTTCCTTAGGGTAGATTTAGTGACTGACAATAATGAAAAGCTTAAGTAACTTGCAACACTAATGACGACTCTGTTGTCAGAAACAATAATTAATAAGAAACAAATCGATATGAAAATGGAGTTACAAATGAAAACAGAATAATCGAAATGCAAAAGTTTCGAGAAAGACTAACAAATTCTGATAAAAAATTTTCGCTTTTAATTCTTCTCGAAATTCAATCGAAAGTCTGAAAAATTTTAAAAATCTTTTTCATGAACACAGAAATTTTCGGTTCTTTCAATGATTTTACGTTCATTCAAATTCAAGTAAAAAGTGAATCCAGTGTTCATGAAAAATGTTAAACTTGATATTCTTTTCTGATAAAATTCGATGCATGAGCAGTTAAAGGGATTGAGAAAAGTTCCAACGATCATTATGAGAATTTTGAATAATTTGATTTCTCCTTTTCTCTTCTTTCTCCAGACTGTTGGACTTGGAAAATTGCGTCCCAATATTGTGATGATGGGCTATAAAAGTAATTGGCACGATAAAGTTAAAGACCCAAAAGATCTTCAGGATTATTTCAATGTTATTCAGTAAGTCAATCATGAGAATAAAATGATGATCTTCTTTTTTTCCATGCAAACACTTTTTTCTTCCTTTTCGCCTTCTTTTCATCTCTTGTGTTTGTCATCATCATTATTATCCTAATCAAGTTCATTATTGAGATGAAATGTATAACATGTTTTGTTTCATCATTCCCTGCAAGGACAGAACATCAAATTAATCCAAAGAGAAAAAATAAGTTGTTCCTTTATTGTGCATAACTTGGCAAAGAAGGAGATAATGATGATGAGGATGAAGATGAGAAGAAGAAGAAGAAGCAAAAAAGCAAATATCTATTTATATTTATAAATAATAAAAGAATAGAGAAAAAAAATAATATTGATAATCCATCATGACTCTAAATTCAGAGCAAGTAGCTTAATAGCAGAATAAAAGTCTTTCATTTGTTGAGCAAAATGATGAGCATGAATAGGAAAAGAGCAAAGGGAAGCGAAGAAAAATGTAATCTATTAATGGATGAATAAAAGCTGTTCAACTCATCAGACTCTTTATCCAGCGAAACTGTTAATTTGTCGTTGGACGTAAACCGCTTTCTCATTGTGACTCTCATCATGATAACTTTTATTGCATTCCTTTCATGACATCCCTTTAATCCTTAATCATACAAACTGACCATTCTGTCCATCTTTTCATTCCAAGTCAATAACGAGTTATAATTGAATAACATTTAATGTCTTGTTAAAGTTCACAGATTTTTTATCGTCTCTTCACTAATTGCTATAATAAATGGAAAGCTTAACATTGGTTTAGTGAAAATTCAGTGAATTTTATATTTTCATGGGAATTGAAAAGTTTCCAGATTTTGTATAATTTTGCTTCGAACCAAATGAGAATAAAAAAGTGAATTTTATTGTTGATTCATTAGAAGGTTTAGTTTCTATTCAACAGTTTTTCAGTTCAGTTGCACTCTATTTGACGATAATCGAAACCTGAAAAGTTCGTGATTTCGATTGATTTTATTCTTTATTGACAAAAGGAAAAGTCGAAAAGATTTTTTCTCTATTTCTTCTGTAGTTCGATATTTTGCTGAGTAAACTTCAGAGATTAAATTCAAATGACAGATGAGATATTAATTTTAAAACATTTCTTTTGTTGAATTAGTTGATTTGAAGAGAATCAACCAAACAGAAAATTGAATTTCAACGATAAACCAATATTGGACAGAATAAGATTAATAAGATTGTGTCTAGTTTTTTGTTGCTTTCATTTGTTGTAAGTTCATCTTTACTCTTCACGATATTCATATTAATATCATTAACTATTAATATTCTGTCTGTTGGAGAAGTTTTTCATTTCCTGTATCATGATGTTGATTGTAAACGAAAAGATATTCTTTGGTTTCATGCAAATCAAATGTCAAATAACGATTGGGAGAAAAGGCTGATATTAACAGAATAAACACAACATGTTGGTTTAAATTGTTGCTTATTTATTAGCTGAATACATCAAATCTTTGAACAGAAAATTTCTTTTTGTTCGATCAAAAAATTGCAATTAAATATTCATTTTAAATGTTGATGGATGAGTTTTTGTTGTTTTTCAAATTTCAGTAATTCTATTTTTTGTATTCATTTTTCATTCTTATTTTCGCTTCTATTTCAGCTATTGCTTGGATGAACACATATCACTGGTCATCTGTCGAGTTCAAGAAGGTTTCGATTTTTCAGAGTTTTTTTCTTCCGTTTCATTGGAAAAGAAGAAACCTTTCGATGAAACTATTCGACCTGAAGATACAAAGTTTGATTTCAAGTTTGTTCAGAAGATTGCAGCCACCGAAGAGCAAGAGAAACGTTCATCAATCATTCCAGTTCAAGTTATTGATTCAGTAAATCAATTTCAAAAGAATCCAAAGAAAGGAACAATAGATATTTGGTGGCTTTACGATACAGGTGGAATCGCCTTGCTTTTAGGTTGGATTTTGCAGAACACTCGAAACAGTCTTTGGTACGGATGCAAGATGAGAGTCTTTTCCGTGACTAGAACAGACATCGAAACAGCAAAGTCAAAGTAAGTCAAAACTTAGATCAATTCGTAAAACATTTTCAAACATTTCGCCCAACAACTTGTGCCAAAAAAACAAAGATTTTGGCGATTTTCGGTAAGAGTACTTTTGATTATGAAAATTTTCTTATTTAAATAATCGAGTTTAAGTGACTTTGAGCTATAATGAAAATTATCGTTTGATTTGTGCAAACGTCATAAATATTGAAATTAATGGAAAGAAAAGTTGAATCGCAAACAAAAGCATCATTTACAACCTTAAAAAGGTGCAACCTTTCAACTCGAATAATTTTTTTTCACTTTTCCTTCTCAGTTGATATAATTATTTCAACTGAACAGTTGTTCAAACCTTTTACTTCTCCCACTCTCAGTGTGATTTATGGTAAACATTTAATCATTAAACTGATGATAATAACTTGTTTTCCCAATTCAACTCTTTTCCCTTCACTTTTTCTTCTCATTTCAATTGCGAGTTTTCCCTTTAATGTTGAGTAAAAACATGAAAAAAGTAACCTCACAAAATTAAAAGTAAAAAAGTTAACCCAAAAAAAACGCTCAGTAATTGCGTTAACGAAACATAACCATCATTTGTTGTTTTTTCCTCTTCTTTTGCTTTACTTTTTTTTCTTGTTCATCCAACTCTTGACGATACAATTGTTACATATTGTTGCTAATGTTACATGAGCAAAATTACAGAATAAATTGAAAAGATGATAAAGAGAGAAAAGGAAAAGAAAAAAAAGTTCAACTTGAGTTTTGGTTCAACATTTTTTTCCATCAACAGCTAAACTTAATCGTCATCCTTTACCTCCTGAACATCTTCACCTTTCAGAATAATCATTGTTTACATGATCACTTTTACCCTTTACATTCTCATTTGTTACGTCTCAAGTTACCACTTGTTACTCCATCATCATTATCACCATCAACATCACCTTTATACCTGACCAATAATTGAATAAAGAAAAATAAGTTTATCTCTTTACTCGTTGCCTTGGCCGTTGATGAAGATAATGGACTCAACTTTTCTTCTTCTGGTTCAGTAAAGAGTAAAAAGAAATCTTTTCCTTTTCGCTTTTTCCATCCATTATTTTCATTCAAGTTATTGTTATAATATTTACTCTTTCCTTTCCCTCCGTGTTATTCAATTCTGACCAACTTCATGAGTGACGACAGGAGTAGTCTTGAGTTGATTCCAATCATCAATAGATTAGAGTTGAAAGGTAAAGAATGAGGAAAATGTTTCATTATTTACATTTGTTTGAAGCTCTAACAAACCCAATTTACACTTGATAACCATTTCCAAGCAAACAGTCAACTGGTTAAGTGATACATGAAGGCAATAAAAGTTGAGCAAAAGAATGAACAATCGACGAATTGGAATGATATTGAAAGTAACTTCTTTTGACGAGGAAAAGGTTCAATTTATATTGAAACATTTCCATCTTGATTTCATATTGAAAGTTATCTTAAGGTTCATTATCATGATAACTCAAGATATTGCAATCATAATGAAACTGTCGAGATTAACAGATTGAAAAGAATGGAAAATGTTGAAAGAAATCTTTTTTTTTCTTTCCTTTTATCGATAAATATTATTGATATTCAATTCTTTTCACTCCAAGTCTTGGGAGGGAAAATGTTGTGAAATTGATAGCAAGCGATAACTTTGATTTTCCAGTTTTCTCATTGATTCTGTATAAATCAAATGATTAATTCAAAAAGAATGAGATTGGAAATTATTTTATTAATGAAACCAAATCAATTGAATTTTCCTCTTCTTACACTTATCAGTTTCATGGAAGAAGAAAAGTTGAAAGTGAAAAGGAAAATTGCTTGTTTATTTATAGCTGAAAATGCATTAAATTTATCCGATTTTGGTATTTTCTCACTTTGAATCGATTCTAGTTTCATGGAGAAACTGTGATGAAACTCAATGAATATTCTTATTTTTTCCCTCTTTTATCAAACTGTTGATTTTCTAGATTTGACTCATCGCTCTTCATCCATCTTGATTGGTCAGTCAGCTTGTTTTCATCATTAGAAGATCATTTCATTTTTTTCTTTACATGATAACTCTTTACTCTTGGGCTTGGAGAAGAAAAAAGTTCTTTGAGAGAATATCATTTGGTCTGAATACGATATTGACTCTTATGAGTAGAAACAGGAAAAGATCAACTTGGAATGAAGAAAAACTCAGACGATCATTTGAATGGTTATTATTGATGATACATGAATGAAGCTAAAGAAAAAAGAGAAAAGGCAAAATCGCTTGAAATTGACTGAGCCATAATCATTTGAATATTGGATCAATGAATAAAATATTTGTTCCAATAATGTCATGAAATATGAAAGAAAAGCGAAAAAGAAACAAAAAGTTGTTTCTCCTTCAATAACAAATTGATGTTATTGAAACAATCTTGTTCAACTTTTACTGTTCAAAGTCAATAATATTTTAGCTTTTCATTTCATTTACATTTTTGAATTCATTTTTTCTCAAGTCTATTGATTGACTGGTCAGCTTGTTATAGAGTTTCGTTCGAATGTCCATTTTCTAGATAATTTCAGTCATTGACAACTTTCCACCAATTTTTTACTCTAGTCGAATGGTTATTCTCAAGTCCAACAATAACTTATAGTGTTCTTTCACCATGAGTTACTTCCTTTGCCGTTCTGGTTTTTCTTGTTTTCCGTTTTATTCACACTTTGATTGAACTTTTCCATTTAGTCTTTGCAATCAATTCCTTCTTGGTTGAAGCTTAAATGAAATCTGTTTTTCTTTATTCACTTAATGTGAAAAAGGTGAGTTTCATGAAAAGAAAACAAAATACTGAAAAGGGAGAGAAACAACAATTTGACACAATTGTTAGTCTGGATTGTCAAACAACAAATAATGAGTTACTCAGTTCAGGAAAGGATAAGAAAAGAGCAACAAAAACTTAAACTGAGATAAGAGCAAGTTTATCCAGAAGAATGAGATGTTAAGTGAAATGAATAATGTCGAGTGAAATTTATCTCTAAACTGAATTCAGTGTTAAGTTGACAATTTTAATGAAACAAAATTAAGCTCATTCTGTAGTGTCTACAGTGAAAGTACTGGAATTAAGTGGCTCAACTTGAACAAGAGTCAACAATATTGAAAGCCAAAAACTTATCGTTTTTCACTTTATTGGATAAATATGCTAAATAAATGTATAAAAATCTTTTGATTCTTTCCGTTTCCTGGGGAAAATATTCAAAAATTGATATTGATGAACTTTATCTGGTTCCAATTTTTATCTCTGATCAAAAATCACTTACTAAAATTGATTATTTAATTTCAATTTTCATATTTTCTCTTTTTCGATGAAATTTTGTTTTTTATCAATAGAGCTTTTTAAAATGTAAAACAGCAATGAGACGAGAGACAATTTTGGGACTGAAAATGAAACAAAATTACTTATTTGATAAATGAATTTGAAAGACTCTTTCGCAGTTCTGAATCATATTCGAACGAAAATTTCATACCTTATTCTGCGGTGGAAAAACAAAAAATGTCTCGAAATTGTGTTAATCTGTAATCTTTTTATTTCATTGTTTCAAGTTGAAACTCAATTCTGAAGAAAATTTGAACTTTTAGCTGCAAGATATTGTGAAAATACGATTAAATCGATTAAACCCGAACTTTTTCTTCATTGGTTATTATATGTATACAACCTGAACAATGATAAAGTACAACGAAATTCAAACATTCTTGAGACATTCTTCAGGCATGAGAATGTGATTAAATCTCATGTATTAGATTTTGCAGTTCTTTCCATTTGTTCTGTAGACTTGTTCAGTCCAGCGAACCAGCGGTGATTGTCTGATACTTTTTAACAATCACTTTTAGTATTTTCCTTCCAAGTCATAAAAAGCTTAAAGGATTGATGAAACAAGAAAGAACCGTTTAAATATTAATCATCTTTGGACATAAATCGGCTTAAGCTTAGCTTTTGGTTAGAAATTTAAACTGTTTTCAGGAATCCTGAATCCGGTTGAAATGAAGTAGAAAAGCTGTTCCATTGAATAGCTTGACTACTGAATTTTATAACATTAAATCGACGATCATTTTTGTACATTTTATGTTTTGTAAACATCTTTTATCTCTTTACAAAGAAAAGCATTGGAATCCATTCTTGACCATTAATTATTGTTGAAGTGAATTCCCGATTTATAATACAAAGATAAATCAAATGATAAATGATGTACATTTAGAAATAAAGGACGAACATCAAAATTCTAAAAACAAAATTTTCAAAATGTGTTCATGAAAAATGGAGGCTAATTTCAATATTCAAACCTCTTAACTTACTTTCTTCAAATCAGTCGACTAGCTTTGGAAGCAATTGAAGACTTGAACATTGAATCCAAATAATCCAACGCTTTTAAAAGCCCATTGATTGAAAACTGATCGAATCGAGATTCGATTTGATATTGGGCAAAGCATTTGAACATTTGATTTTTGGATATGAATTTTATTCAGTCTAGAATTGATAAAATTATAACAATAATTTTTGCCTGAGAAAATAATCAAAATGATTTACTTTCAATTTTTAACAGGTGTGTTTGACTGTCCATCGATTTCATTGAAAGTGATTTAAAACATTAAACCTTAATCGACATTCTTTATCGCCCTTTACCATATTAAACATGATCTGTGGTTAAATTGTACAACGAGATGAAAATGAATTGCAATAATTTTCAGATGAATTATGATAATAATGTTTGTTGACAGAATGCTAAAGAATTTTCTCCTTCATTTGAAAAGTTCTTTTCGAAGTCAGTATTAGTCGCAAACTGTTCTATCGGCAAATTAGTTTCATGGTTGCGTTAGTAATTATGTCAGAAAAGATCGAGCTCAATATGAATTAACCTTTAGCTGTGAATTTGTGCACTAATGAGTTTATAAGGTTAAAGGAAACGTAAAAAATCGAGTTGAAAGCATAAGAAGAAACTGAACTTTTTCTGGTTTATGAAATAAAATT